AGATTCAGTAAATTCTAGAAAAGATCCATGAGCGGATGATAAACCTGAACGAAAATTTGAATTCATATTTTTTATCTCTCCAAAAAAATAGGCGATTTGCGATATTTTCCTTGTCCCGAACTCCCCATCCCTCAAGCATTTTCTTGAACTTTGAAGCAAATTAGCTGTATCTATTGAAAGATCCAGATATATCTGTCCTCTTCCGTGACGTAGGGGGTGAAACATCGTCTCCGCTCAACGACCCGTCGAACTACTGTACGGGCTGGTCGCGTGCGAGTGCGCACACGCGCGCTACCGTAACCGCGACGGCGTCGAGCGCGTGGGGCGACCGGGCCGTCGCCCGCCCGCAGTCCGGTCGCACCCGTCGGGCACACGACGGTCGCGCGTCTGATAGACACACACCACACACACACTCTCAGCAGGTCGCTCGCTCACACACTTGCTACCACCCAGTGTGTGCGCGTGTGTGTGATCACCGCTACCGGTCTGTCTCCTCATCTGCTTTGCCCCTGCGCCTCATAATGAGTTAGTTTTGGGGCTGCCAGCTAGCTAAATATTGTTATCGAGGCTTACTTCAGTACTGCCTTAACCTTTAGGGAAAGCCTTATATAGTGCTTATCTTGTAATCTCCTGTAAGGCTCCATTTTCCGTTAAATTAGCTCGCGAATGATTTGGATATGAAAATTTCCAAAAGTACTTATAAAAATGTTCATTAATTTGACTGATGAACGCTATTACATTATCACGAAATAAGAAGTATGTATATATTGTTCCAGGTCTTCCTTTCTTACTGGGAGTTCCGCGGTAGACTCACATAAACTAAATTCTTCTAAAAGGGGAAACGGAGTAACACTACCTGATAGTCTTACACATTTTACTTTTTATAAAATATTTTTACTTGTAGTAGTTACACTTCAAAATGCCCCATTTTGTTTCATTTTACTCCAATGCTTTGAAGTTATGCCATACTGTTGATCTCTCCCATGTTCGCCATTCTCAGAAAAGATCCTTGTCTTGAAAATCGTGATATTCTTGAGTTCGGCTCTCTATCCTTACCATCATAGCGCATGCATAATTAAACACAATGATTCTTTTGAGGATATATAAATTAGAGTATCTCACCGCTTCGTCCTCCTCCTTTTTGAGGCAAGTAAGAAATTTCTAAACTTCCCCAGAAGCTTCTGCAAGGAAGAAAAAGGATCCATGGTCAAGAGAAAACCTTTGCGTCTGACACCTAACAGAAAAAGTTTGTTGTGATTTTCCCTTCAAGTGTACAGAACTATCTTAAAATGACATATAACCCAAGATGAGTGCAGCGAATGACGAAGGCTAGGACTATTGAGATCTTTTTGAAGAAGCAGGAACAGTTATAGGGATTGTTGCCTAACATATGTGCCAGATATGGTCAAATAGCCTGGTCGGTGCATCTGCTTTTTTCCTTCTCAATCGCTTATTTTCAGTAACGTAGACGTGATTCTGATTTCTATTAGATGCTAGGACTGGCTTGAACCTTCTTCGACTCTTGCAGCTATATAATCAAAGCAGATTGGAAGTTTCCTTCCAAAGCTCGCATTTGCTTCGAGGAGGGCAAAGCGCAAGCGCAATTCGCGCGGCCATACCTTAACTTCCGAATACAAAATACCAGCAATAAGGCTCGCAACGGTCTCCAAGTCCCAGTCCTTGATGTGCCCTGATTCTGGCCCCAACCCCCGATCCATTCTCGAACAGCTCGCAGTTGAAGGCAAACTGCCGAGCGCTGAGCATTGTTTGCGATGCTATTTTTCTCCACGCATAGACACACAGCGAGTCGTTTGTGACCCGACCGTGGTCGTCGTCGTTGCAGCGAGGTGGCGGTCGGTCGGCCGACGGTTAATGCCAATATTTACTCGTCAAGCGGCTCCGAACTGACGGTCGTTCCTATGCCACCGGAAGGCTCCCGTGCGTATTGTCCGCGCTCGCGGACTCGCATCATAAGTGTGCCGCCGCAGCTCGACCCCGCTGCTGCCGCCGTCGACGACGGCGTCCACGGCGACGTTAAGTTGATCAGCATACATCAATGCTAATCCGCTCTAATTGCTACATCGCTTGAGAGCAGGCGTGGGAATGTGTGCATCCTTGACATGGCACAGCTCTATTCGTACGAGCACCGCCCATCCTCCGGAAACGGTTCAAACGCTAGTTACAACGGCTTTTAGCCCAATACTACCTGTCAACACCATGCCTTTTTTGCGTTTACTCCCGCTCTCGGGGGACTTTCGAGTGGCACGTAGAGTGCTGTTTGGTCTGTTTACAAGTTAATGATGGTTTAGCAAATATTTTTGAGAACGCATACGAGTGTCGTCCGGAGATGAAAGTTCAATAATCGAGATTTTTTAATTATTAAGAATCATCTCTTCGACCCCTTGCCTAGTTGCAGAGAGATTCTGGAGTAAATCATTTTTGAATTTAGAACATGCATAGCTTTGCTTATCTCAGCATTAATGTGCCAATGCGTTTTTTTACAAACATCTTGAAATGTTATTTTTGCTTCTCAAAAGCTTGTACAATTTAACAGTTTAAACTTTTGTTTTCTTCCTAGCCAATAACACCACTTCTGTGATAATATTTTGCCCGCACTGAATTCTTTATGCCAGAGAGTTCAGAATTTTGTTGAATTTTCAAATGAAAAGGGTAAAATAAAAGTTCAATGAATTCGTAAACAGAGTTTTAGCTCCTCGACGATGTTTGCAGTTGTCTGACGGTTATCAATCTCAAAAACCAGCTGCACACTTCAGCTCTTTCATAAATTTTATGGGATGCTTTACAAAATTCTCGTGGGCCTGTAAGAATTTTTTCAGAGCTTTAAATATTTTTTTCTTGAAATAAATTCAATTGCTTGCAAGTAAACATACGTTACTTGCATATTTTTGTAAATGTGGGCCACTTTCAATAATTATTCTTCCCCCTCGCCGCTCCCCCCCCCCTCCCCTCTCCTCCTCCAGTCCCTCAAGTCCCCACTGTTTAGTATTTGGAAGTTCATGAACATCTAACTATATGCTAGCCTTACCGAATAGCTGCTTCTCTGACACTAACGTATGTTGCACATGATATTGGCATCTGTTTTCTTTCCGTAATCTCTAACTGTAGCCAACTTCCAAATGTTGAACAGAAGCAGAAACATCCATATGAGTGGCTTTGCTAAATTGTGCAATTAAATATCATTCATTAGCGAAGTAAAAGTAAAACCTATGGGGCAGAACACAGAGCTCTTTGCCACATGGCCCATCTCAGATTCTGAATTGTGCACTTTCACAGTTCGAAGGAGAACCTTAATCTCAGAACTGTTTGGATGCTGAAGCCTCTGCTTCAATAAACTCCTCCCGCTCCCAGCGTATCATCTTTCCCCCCCCCCCCCTCTGCTACCTGCTTTCAATTCTGCGCTGTGCTATGCTACCGTACTCGGCTGACACTTTGTTTTGAATGACGAACCGGCCGTATGAACGATTACTGCACGTTGCGATAAGGAATCGCCGGTTACTGCGCTGTGGCGGCGGTGGCGGCGAAGGCGGTGGCGGCGAAGGTGGTGGTGGCGATGAGTTGGGATGACGCGACGGCAACGGCATCGATACGGGTGTGAGATCGCATGAGTTCGTAAACGCTTTTTTCGAGGTCAAATGGGATGGGTTACGGTACTTTGTTGGGTTACCGTAGGAGATCACGCACCAATCTGGGGGTGGAATTCTCTTGCGTTTGGTCAGGATTGTGTACGGTATAATACGGTAATCATAACCCGCAATTAGACAGTCATTTTTTTCGAAAGAAAAAACCTACTGTAAACGTAATTTCTCTGTGGAGTTTTCTCGAGCTCGCGTTCGCGTCATTGGATTATAGTCGACCAAAGCTCGGTACGCGTTCCCGCTCGCTCGGCGCAAGAACATCAGTTTCCTATTGTTTCCTAGCCAAGTCGACAAGCAGGGCCTTGCAGCAATTGAAGTTCAAGTTTCTTTGAAGAAATTTGGCTACTGCGATCAGGTCTCTTCAAACCTTATGAATTATACCGGCTCTTTCTTTCCGCTTCTTTTGCCTAAAGTGGGTGGTAAATAAGTACCTGTCGAATAAATTGAAAAATTTACAAATGAGGTGATAACATTGAAATAAGACATTGCATTGCCGACAAAAGAATTTGTTTCAAAAAAGGTATGCTGAACCCCGAATCCAAGTATGTATTAGAGAAAATACCATACATAGCAGAAGTGGAATTGTAAAAACTAGATTTTACCATTTTACCTTGAAACATCTTCATATCATTTGACTGGCATCTATATGTACCAAAGGTTCAGTTTCTTCACTCAAGTTTGTTTGGAGTGTCAGTTATCGTAGAGGTATACTGGCGAATCTAAGAATTTCTCACTTAGTCAAGTCCTATACCATCAGGAAGGTTAAGAATGATTCAGTTCGAATTGAACATCTTTTTGATTAGCCTTTCATCTACTCGTGGTACTGAGATTCTTGACCAAAGCATGCTACCAACTTCTTAGCCTCAGTTCCATTCTTATGCGGAAGATCTAATCATTTTTCCCATATAAAGTGGATTCGTGTACTGCCTTCGATTCTAGGGCACGCGCCATACTTATCCACTTCATCCGCTTCAAACAGAACGCGGCATCACTTCATTTGGCGAAGTGGATGAAGTGGGTGAGTTTGGCGTGTGCCACTGGCGAAAATCCTTTTCGCAGTTGCTATGTTTCACCGAATCTTCAAAACCGGGGTGACTCTGTTTGTTTTTGTGGACCCTATGCTTTAAGACTATAGACTGCTTTAGGGATTTAAGACTGTTCAGGTTTTATCAATGCAGATAACTGTACTGCTATCTAAAATAAACTTTTCTGTGACCTTGGAGAAGCCTATTGTGTTGTGGTTTCTTAAAGATTTTGTTCTTTTTATTTGCAAATACCTTGTTCGCGTGTGTTCGCTCTTATTGCATTTATTTATGATTGAATTGATAAAATAAGGATATTTCCAGGAAATGTACTCAGATATTGAAAGTTTCTCAAGTGATGAGAGAGGACACGTTAAAAAGGTAAGCGACAGTTTCCTTTTTGTCTGCTTTTCAAAAAAAGAACTAGTGAAAACGATTTCGAATCTATTCAGACGAATAAGCCAATGATGGAGAAAAAACGCCGTGCGCGGATCAATCACTGCCTGAGCGAGTTGAAGGAGATCCTTATTTGCGATAAACATGCGGTGAATAAGTTTTGCTTCAACTAAACTTAATTTGAAGAATGTTGATGATAGACTTATAAAAGGTTTGTTCAGAAAGGCTTGTTTTAAGGTCAGGACTAAATGCTATATTTTGGGAGATTATATTTTGCAGAAGTTTGTCAACAGTTTGCGTTTTCTTAACTATTCCTAAATGTAGGCCTTCCAACTGATAGAACAGAAGATTATGCTGCTCAATCGTGAAGTGCTGTAATTAATTCTATGTCGCTCACAAATGATCTGCCAATCTGTTTTATACTGTAGACTGGCAGAGGTATTTGGCTCAACCGGGGGGGGGGGGGGGGAGGGAGTTCAGCTTGAAACCGCGGTAATATTGCGGCAGGGTCTTAAAATCATAGTATAATCTTGTAGCTCTAGATTTTTTCTTTCAAAGATATCATGCACATAAATGATTTATTTTTTGTAGCTGGGTCAAATGAAAAAATTTAGCTCTTCAAAACTATTTTCAACTTTTTGCTTCTTGTAACAACGAATTGAATTTCCTAAAACCTTCCTGGTGCACTTCCGGATGTTCCTAATATTTTTTGATATCATTTCAACAATTCTCAATTGAAAACAGTTTGTTATGCTTCTCAGCTGAACTAGAAAGGGGGAAAAAAGAAGTGAAATTTTACACGAAAGGATTTGTACCTAATTGCATTTGGTTATGACACCTCTCGTCTCTCTAACCACAGCATCCAGATTACGGGATTTTCTCCTTGCCTAAGAAGAGCCAGTGCCTTGCTTTTAATAAAATTACTAGCACTTTGACAACAATTCCCATTCTTAGTTGTCTGCCTTATGGGACAAACTCTTTTACGGATAAGTCAACTTCTGAGCTAAAAATCACGCAAACTCTCATCTACAGCATACTAAAGTAGCAGTTAAAGGCTGTCGAGGAACGAAGACTATACTTAGATACAGGAATAGATAAGTAAGCATTAAGCCTCCCGATCAAGCCCATTTCAAAATAAAAGCCACTCCAAAAAAATTCAAGCTTTGACCCATGCGTCAGTTGTCGTCAATGTCTGATCAACCAAGCTTGACTCTCAGCTTGCATAGAGGAAGTAAATGTTCTGATTAATTGCAAGACACCATCGGCTTGACTTTTGGGTGAAGATCTGGTCTGATGTGATCTTAAGAAGGCCTACAAGCTGCGCCATGCTCCAGCGATGATTTAGCGAGCGCCGAACGCATGTTGACAGCTCGACTCGCTCGCGCCACCAGACGCGTACGTGGCGCGCGTAGCCAGGAAGGGGGGGGGGGGGGGGACAAGGGGCAAATCCAGTTCGGGCGAGGGTGTTTCTGAATAATTCGGAGCGTCTGCGCAACGTAAAGACATTTGCGCGTCGTACACCAAATTGAAATCAAATCGCATCAATTATTCCGCTTCGAGAACGCCGACGGCGTCGAGACCGCCGCCGCGATGATTTTGTCTGAGCGCCACACGACTATCCGTTCTAACTGAATGAAACACTCCAGAAAAGGAACTATGGTTTCTGGGGCCCTAAATCGGAAGGAATGGGCTTTACTTTTATCGCATCTATGTGCGTGAAAAACAATGCAGGAAAATTGATAAAATCCTCCAAAATTGATACAATGATACAACACAATTCAATAAACTTTGTAAACCTTTTGAAAACAATTTTGTTAAATCGCATTCTGATTTCAAACAGTTGCAATTGCAAATTGAAACTTTGGGTACATTCTTAATCTATTTCTCATGGAGATGCAATTTAATTCTTGATCTTCCTGAAATAGACTTTCACCTAGAATTTGTAAGCTGAAAGTTGACGAGGACATCTCTTTTTGGTTGGAATGTGTGTAGAGAAAATTATGTTTGATTTTATAAAACTATTTTGGCATTTTTATGAATTTGAACATTTCAGTCAGCCGGTCACGCTAAATGGGAAAAAGCAGATATTCTTGAAATGACAGTGGATTACCTCAAGAAACTACGAGCTCTTCGAGGTAAGTCTTTGCTATAAGTTGCTCAGGACTTATGATTATTCTCTATCTTTGTGGACGATTATCTTCACTCAATGTCGCCAAAGCTTCGGCACCCAAATCTCCCTAATTTTGCGTTGTTAACACAACTTTTTTCCGAAACAAATGTGAAAGCCGCCAGAAGTTTTTCCTTTAGCTTGCAAAATCGTGAACAGCATGCTGCCATTACAAATTTGTTTTGGAACTCTACACCATCCATTGCCAACGCTTCTTCTGTTTGCCATTTGACGCATCCGTACTCGAAACTCACCAAAGAATAAAACAAAAACTCGGCAGTGTTTGCTCAGAGGGGTGTGTTGCGCGCGGTGTGTAAATGGCCGTGGTAGTAGAGATTCACCTTCACCAACACCAGCAGCGATTACTCATCTTTGCAAGCATTTTCTCGAATTTTTTGCGCTCCGTGAACACAACGCAAGAAGAAGTGAATGTATGTATGGCCGCAACTCGGTTTGGCCGCTGGGTCGACATCGGCGATGTTTGTTTGATGCCGCGCAGTAGGTGAGAGACCATTTCTGCACGTAGGTAACGGCTTAGTTAAAGTTTTTTTTTGAATAAGTGGAAGAAGAGGGATGCGGGGAAGGGAGGTGGAGGAGGAGGAGGAGGAGGAGGAGGAGGAGGAGGAGGATAGGAGGCATGGTAAGTCAAGGGGGGTATGGCTGAAGTGCTAAAGGACAGTTTTTGCTTTATCAAGTCACCTGGTGCACAAGCTTTTCTTTATATGATTCTTACAAATCTTCCGTCTCTTTCCACTTCCGAATATCTTCGCACGAGGGCTGGAGGTCCATAAAAAATCTGAAAAAATGAAAAAAAAAGAATGAGAGAATTGAGAGAAAGAAAAGAATATGGTTAAAGTGTCTCAAAAGCCTTTATATATACTGTAACTCATGTACTGTATTGTAAGAACGGGGTCAATTTATAGCTCCTTGTTCTTTTCTCTACATATTCCCGATATGGGACTTCGCCAGCTTTTAGAGTTTCAGAAGAAAACGAAGATTGTAACAAAATCTACGTTGCGACCTAACACTATGAAAAAATGAGAATTTTTCAGACTAACACTTCGATTTTTAGAGCACTAAGGAGTGGCTCTGTTCTAAAAATCCATTCATCCGCAAAAAAAGCTAGAATTTTTTTATTGTCAAACCTTTACGAAGAGGGACTACCTTGTTGACAAAAAATGTCACATATACTTTCTCATGAAAAATTGTTCTTAGCATCCGCTAACTCCCCGAGGTTTGTGAAAGTAATACCCGTTGGGAAATATGTACATCAAAAAAACTATCTTGTCTCAATCCAAAAAAGACCAAATTGCGGAATTCAAATGATTCCCGGGTAAAGATCTGGCATCGCTAGGCATTGCCTTCAGAGCTATCGTCTACATGCATGAAAAGATTGTTAGTCAGTAGAAAGGGACCTATTGCCAGTTTTATCCCCCCCCCCCCTTTTTTTGACCGATATTCGTAATCTTGAACTTTACACAGACTCAGACTCATCGAATTTGTGCTTTTTCCCATTTTTATTCTATTGCAAGCCTATCTTTCGTAAGCCCAAGTTACCATGTTCTCTGGCAGTCAATTTGCGAAATTTTATTGCGCTCAACCCGTTCAGGAGAAGAAATTTCTTACCTCGTCATTTGACTATATTACAGAAATTCTCTAAGTGTGCTCCCTCTTGCTACAAAACTGGCTCCATAGGCGTTAAAAACCCGCCATTAGGAATTCCGAGTTACCGTTCACAAAGACATGATTACAAGTTTTGAATCACGATTCAAGTACTAGCATTTTCGTACTGTTTATAAAAAGCCATTGATGTTGGAAATTTTCAGATTCTACTTCTCCCCACACGACTGCTATTCCCTCGGTTACTGCGGCCGAATCTTCACCCTCTCACTCTAAGGACTGTTCCGACGCCATTTCCATCTCCACGACCACTCCTTCACCATCCAGCATTGAATCCACCTCCGACGGACCACCAACCACGAAACGACGTCGCACAACTTCTCCGACTCCGCCCACATCGCAAGAGTCGCGCAGTTTCATGGCGCCCACACCTGCGACTCCGCTCTCACTTTCCACGCTACCGTCTTCAGCACGGACAGCGCCGATCGTATCGCCACAGATCAGGCCACCAGCCGGGTTTAATTTCATGGCACAGCACTTGTTAGCGCTACAGTATCAGCAAAATTTGAAAATGGCAACAATAGCACCTGGCATGTTGCCAGGAATGCCTGCACTTCATCCGTTTGCTGGAATGACGAGCATCCCCTGGAGAACAATTTAGTGTTTAGAAAAATTCAGAGCAGACGCGGGAATTAGAGAGTTCCTGACGAAGGCGGATGTTTATCGCATACATGACGGTCGAGCACCTATCATCCATGGACCGCGTGCGTAACCGCTCGCGCAGCATTCGCGTGCGTTCAACTTATGCGACCACCCTCCTTCCTCTGGGACAGACTCTAACTAGTTCTGCCTTTTCTTCTCCTATAATTTCTAGAATTTTCATGCATAGTAAGATTTCTTTATTTTCTTCAGTGCTGAACAAAATTGCACAGATATTTGTGTTGTAGGTGTAAGGTTACGAGTAATTTTGTAAGTACAGATCTGATCATATTTATCCATACAGTCCAGAAATCCTACACTTATTGATATTTTGTTTATTGATTATCACGTTGTCTGTAGCTCCAGGCTAAGATATCTACTCTATTTTGTCACGGTGTATTCTATGTGCCTTTTTCCATTTTTGAGGAATCTCTACATTCTACCAGCCATTTCATTTTGCAATAAAATTGTCTTCGTATATTTTAACGATTTATAATTCGAGATAAAAACTTCACAAACACGTATTTGCCAGTGCAAAAAATTATTCAACACTTACGCAGTTCTAAAATCACCGCTAACATGACTAGTATAAAAAATACCGGTATCATCGCAATGTAATTATATCGTTAACGAGAAAAAATGGAATGAAAGACGAAAGAGATCGAAATAACAGGAGAAGATCATCACCGAAGAGTACGTGATGAACTTACTTGAGACTATTGCTGTCTAGAGAGAGAAAGTAGAAAGTGGAAACACGTTATTAAAATAAAGTTATAAAATTAGTGAAATTTGAGAAGTTTTTGGAGTAAAAGAAGAGAAAAACTTTAAAAAAATGTCGACGCCTCCTACAGTAAAGGTACAGTACCCCGGGGTACGATATCCATCAGAAAACTAACGTCAACTATATACAATGGGAGTACGTCACAGTTTTCTATGTACCCTAACAGGAAACCGCTGTTCGTACCCATACCGTTCGATACGGTAACGATTGTGCTTGTGCGCGACCGAGAGGCGTGGCCAGTAGATCAAATCGATAAGTTTTCGCCGGCTCCAGCTCGGTTACGGTAGTTTCGATAAGACCAATGTAGTCATCGCGAAGCGGTTCAGCCGGGCCACGGTGAGTATAGCATCCAACCAGCTCCGAAGATTCTAGGCCACCTTCACACAAGTTGTTGGCCTGAAATCAATATATCGATTTTTTACTGTAGCATAGTGGGCAGATGAATTTCGAATCGCAAACTCGATTACTGAAATTTGTGTGTAGAGTGGGTTTTAATCCAGCCACCAAGCGATAGCTCACTGATTTTTCTAATAGGAAGATTTTATTTCAACTCCAGCCTCTATTTTCTACCGTATTCGAAGTTGCTCATTACGGTCTGGTGGGTATTTGGGACTAAGTTTTGCAAGCACCAGTGAACCAAATGAGTGCAGCTTAACTCATTTACGGCTCGCAAATTTTAAGTTGTCTGCCATTCTAGACCAAGGGCTGTCACGGATCAGTCAACATTTTTCACATGAAATCGCGCATACTGCCATCTACAGTATATCCAAAGATCGCGTGAGACTGCCAAAATGGATAGAGGTTATACCTAGCTCTAGCGCAAAAGAAAACTCCTAAGTGAGCTTGTCCAATATAGTTGCCATTTTACCAAATTCAGAATCGCTAATTCAAAAAGTGCAGATTCTTGTTTGATGCAAATTTCTTCTTTTTCATGTTCCTGTATTCATAAAAAAAGTCACATCTATTTCTCGTTTTGTTAGTGGATTTAGCGCCATCGGCCTGCTCTAGTACAGATTGCAAAAGTTTGAATTTACACAAATGGACAGTCATAACGGAGCACTTTACTTCGCTTTTTAGAACAAATTTAGCATTGTGTGCTTCTATGTTTACATCGCACCTTGCGTAGTTTGGATTAAGTTAGAGAAATCTTTCTAACTCACCTTGCTAACCAGCTCCTCTAGATAATTAGCCTTTTCTTGACGCATATAAATGCAGTATCGAGCATGTTCGTCAGCTGACCGCAACCATTGCAATGTTGCCGTGGAGCAAGTACGACGAACCGCTTTCACACTGGAAAAATACAAACTTCAATTCCCTATGTAAGGAACTGGTGTTTGGCCTTCTCGAGCTTCACTTCCCCGTTTCAAAAACCCCGTCCCCTAAGTCCAAGCAATAATCGTAGCAAAGTTGTTTCCGCTCGTGGTGTCTGCTTGTGCGCATAATTATGCCATCAATCATAATCGCTGCAGTCTCGGCACACACAAATGCCTGGGAGACGTAAACTCTGCCACGGATGCTTGGACATATGTTTTGAAACAGCAGAACACGAATGCCAACATTTATTAGCACTTAAGGGGCGGAAACTGCGAGAAAATTGAGTTATTATTAGCGTTAGGACACTCCTATCTTAGCGACCTGAGGAAAAATATCTTTCATGATTAAGAGGGGCTAGTAGCGCCTTGAGGCTCAATCCCCCCGGGGCTCGCTCTTATCTGCACGTATCTTTCCACGAATTCTGCACTTGTGTGTCTGTCAGCTCGGACAAACGTAATAACGGCTTCACAAGATCCCAATAAATTTTCTGGTTCGTTAGATGGGCCTATGACCCATGAAATATTGCCAACCTAGCTTGTTTTGCAAACGTAAGCACAATTCACCTCGTATCCTCGGGCAGTTTTGGATATGGCGATTTCTCGGAATGAGTGCTCGCCCATAGATGGACATTTTTAGCCTTGGCATCGTCGTTGGCAATTTGAAATCGAAGCTGGCCAGAGTGCACGTTTACTACCAGGAATCTGCAAGCACTTCTCTTAGTTGTGATGCAAAAAAACAGCCCAAGCAATAAAAATTTAATGGGTTGCGGTTGCCATGCAGGAGAAGAAGTAATTTTTTACGCTCGAAGCATCCGTTTCAAAAAGCTCAGTAGAGCAGAAAATGTTTATATAAAATTCTTGTCTCATGTTATGAAAAAAAAACAAGAGAAACAATGTTGACCCTGGCTTTATAATGATTTATCTAACACTGTACGTATGCAAATTAACAGTAATCAAGTTTCCCCTACTTATTTTGGTCCAAAAATTTTTCCGTTTTCTCCAACTTTGATCATGCTTTGAAAATATTGTATAAGGAAATTCAGGGCAAATCAAGATAAAATTTTGGGAGGCCTTAAGTTAGTACTTGTCATGACAGCACTTTGTTTTTTTGACCAGAAATTTAGAAGTTCAAAAGAACTCTTACCCAAACCGTATACTTTCACCGCCCAATCAGCATACCATAGTCGAGGACAATGACTGGTCCACTTTGAAAAGTACGGTATAGGGCAAAAGCTTTCAGTTGAACGACTGATGTACCATATAGGCTGCCGCTTGTGCAAGGACTTAGCCAAATACTTTTCAAAAAGTTCCCACTTGAGAGGCCCCCTTCTCAGAAGTATGATTTTTGTGCTGTTGCTTCAAAAGTGTCTGATGGCTATCAAACATGTTCTATGAAAGCAAACTATCTTTATGAAAGGCCTAGGTAAAAGAAGTTCTTTCAAATAGGGGACAGAACGATTAGATATTTTAGTTACGAATTTTGAAGGCACCATAGGGCACTTCAGCTGAATTTCTTCATATTTCTGAAATAAAACTAACCGTCTAAAACCAGAGAATGGTTCGCTTCGTTTTAACAGCTTTCCATTTCTGAACACTGACATTCGAACGTATCCATCACATGCATGAACTATGAGCAGAACCTGTAAATTATTGATTTATTTATTAACAGTAAAGCTTAGATTTTTGAGGATTTTCTTTTACATTTTCAACATGATTCCACTATATCATTCTTTAGAAAGCTCCAGTTGCCAATTTCGAAGAAAGAGATGGACACAAACCGAGTTAACATTTATATTTATCCATAGTGTCCCATTTCGGATAGCAGATAATCTACAGCTCAATTTTTTCAATATGTGGCTTTTTGCCCTTGGGCAAATTCCTCTCACCCTGAAGAGTCCCAACCAATTTGCGGTCTCTCCAATAATTTATGTGTTTGCTCCAAGCCCGCAGAAAAAACCCCGTCAACATGTCGTTGAGCTCTTTAACCCCGTCAAGTTGAAATGTTTCTGCGGCTAACAACTGCATTCCGATGCCGCGGCTACCGTCATCAGCGCACAGCTGTCGGCGCCATTGACGTAGGTTCGTCGCTATTTTGAGCCCTGGAATGCGGCGCAGATATTTTCGGCAGCCCCTAGGCCTTTTGCAGAAAATTCCGAGCATTTACTTTACAGCGAAGTCTTATGCGTTAATCTTTTACAGAAATGTCATCGCCCACAAAGAATTCTGATTCTTTGAACTGTCATGCATTAGGTGGACTCGAAGCCTTGCACCAAAATTTGTGTAAAAAGTCTTGCCCCGAAATTTGTAAAAATTCATAGCTTTTTCAAATCTCAACGAATACTTCTATTTTATAACGATGTAAACAGATAAAGTCACTTGTTTTCTAAATACATATGCTCTGTGCAAAACTCTAAATTGATATGTCACGGAAGTACGAGCTGTCAAATTGGAATAGTATTAACGTACCGATTTCGATTGTCAAAAATGCCAAAAGGTGAAGCAAAATTTATTTCAATTTTAATTGTAGTACACAACCTACTTTTCAAATTAAAATATCATGCTGTGCGGATGGGGTTTAGGATGATTACATTTTCGAGTTTTTTTTTTCCGACATCTCGATTTTGTTCATTGATGGAACCTTTGAGGCGTTACAAAAAGCATGTAAAAATTTAAACGTTTTCTCTTTATCAATTCAATATTTCTTGGCTCAAACTTTGGAACAACCCAGTACTAAGAGCAAGAAAATCCTTTAATAAAATTCGGGAAACATTTTTCAATGATTTACTTGATATTATCAAACATTTGAGAATAATGATGTTTCGCTTATAAACAAGCTCCTCAACCATTTCAAATCAAGAGACATCAACCTACCTTATGATTTTGTGTTGCATTGTCTGAAACTACGAACTGATAATCCATTGTTGAGCCCTTTTTCGGCGGAAGATATGCGTTTTCAAGAACAGCATCGTGAAGATTTCTTCCCTGCAACAAGTTACTGAGTCAGAAAGGAAAAAATCTTGGGCCTTTCTAAGCCTACCTCATCAATTTTCGCTTCAGCGGTCGCTTTTTCCGGTGTCTTTTTCAGATTCACCTCGAGAGGTTCATAGGAAGAAGTGCTGCCGTGAAGAGAGTCTCGAACGAATAGTGTTATGTAATAGCGCTTTCCCGATCTGGAAGGGGAGGATACGGTATGGGTGACAGAGAATACGGTATGGGTGACATTGCAGATTGGTTCCTACCGTAATTTCTGTATAATCATTGAGTTGTTTGTCTGCGGAGCACAGTGGATGGACTCGAGGCCTTCGTCTAATTCTCCACACACAGCCCAATCGGGAACCTTTCGCGATACGATCGCACAGAAACGATAGCGATTGGCTTCAGCGTCTCTGAAGTCAGTATCCGTATGTTTCAGATTTTATGATTCTCGTCTCAAGTCACTAACCTCACACGCTCGGCTGCTTTCCATGTGATCAGCACCTGATTCGTGTCAGGATTCTCAACATTCTTCGAAACGGCATGTGCTAGCCGAGTGTCATGAGGCAACGGTGGATAGAATGCATCCATTTCATCTTGTGAATGTGAAAGATAGAGGCGAGCTGATGATGGCGCTGACGAGGTCAGAACCAGAAGAAGTGGTCCTGAAATTGGTTAAATCTTGTGGATTAGTTAATCTTATGAGTATCGACTTTGAACTTAGCCGAGGAGATCTATGTTGATCGAACTTTTCTAAAATTTCTAAACCCTTCAGAAAGCAAAACGAAAAAGTAAAAATTGATTTAGCACTTTGTTCTCTTAAAATCCTCAAGATTGACATTCGATCAACGTAAGTTTCTCTCGAACAGAAAAATATAGGAAAATGGGTTATGAGAACACACATCTTGCCCTCCCCCCTCCTCTATCCCTTAACCCACTAATCTCTTTTTCTTTTATGACAACGACCTCTTAACAATTAGACCAATCCTTACTGCTCTAGGATTCAAAGTATTGCTTCCACGAACTGCTAACCCGGGAAAAATTTCAAAAAAAAAGAGCGCGGTCCATTTTTTACTCAAATGTAATATCACGTTGTATTTCGTGCTTTACATAATAATTCTGACATCTCAGTTGTATTTGCAATTTTGAAACTACGGTATGTAGATGTCCCGCATAATGGGAAAATTTTGAGTTGCTCGTTCGAAAAACATCTTTGAATATGAACGAAAAATTTTTTGGTTGTGTTACTTTCTAATAAAGTCAGTTTTATCAATAATTATTTGTAGCTTCATGTTGCAGGAACCGTTACCATAATCTACAAAAAATGAGAAAAAATGTTTTTCAGACTTCATCTACTCAATATGGCAGTTTTTCTTCTTTTTTCTTCAAAGAATTTTCCCAAATGCAGGCTATTCTCCTGTCATAGCCAATCCCCGGCTCCCCCCCCCCTCCCCAAATATTGCGCCCATAAAATTCATCAGCGCATTTTTTCAGCTGCTAGACAGCTGTTAGAGCTATGGAATTTTTGGAATCTGCACAGGGCATGCAAATTCTTTGGTTATCAACCTGTCTCATACCTCTTTTCACAGCCCCCCCCCCCCCTCTCTTCTAGCCGGGGCATAAACACAATGGCATAAGACCCCGCAGCGCTTGTTGCCGCACATTCCATCGTAATAAAATAACACCTGCATGACGTCACTAATCGCGGGATACGGTAGATTTGTGTAGTCGTGGAATGTGTTGTCGAATGAAGCGCGTGCACTGCGCTATATTTCGTGTGTCAGTTGTCCGCACCAGCAAAATTGCGCGCCAAGCAATGTGTTTATGATGGTGATGTATGGGTTTTTGAATTGATCTAAGCGTATTTATAGCCATCATCAAGTGCAGGGTCTGTATTTGCACATAACCATCAAAATTGCCCATGTTCAAAAGGAAACGATGATAGGAAGATAATGCACTCAAGTTTTTCGGTCCTGCGCGGATTTATCTGGCAGAAAAGAAGAGCGAAAGTCCAGAAGGTAACGTCGTGTTTGTGAGAATAAATGACTGTCGGACTAGAAACGTAGAATTTTCACCATTTTTCTCCTTTCCATGATTTTCAATCCAACTTTTTTTTTTCACACCATCCCACCCTGTTCTCAGAAGAAATAACTTTTTCGCTGATACAAAAAACCAGCATAATCCCAACAGACTAAAAAAATACAGAAAATGATTACAGTATCCAAAGACTAGGTTCAGTTCTCACCTTTATAGACATGTTGTTTGAAGAAAGTCATACGACGATCGTCTTCTTGGCCAGCTATAAGCTCAAGCCGAGGCGAATCCAAGGATTCATCTGGTGAAAGCTGCGAAAGATCTGAAACAGGAATTTTTCATAATGTAGAATCATTTTGCATAACTTTTGTAACTAGAAAAATTGCTGCGTTGTCTATTTTGAGAAAAAAAAAACATTTACAGAAATTTATTTGAATTGCATGCGGATAAAAAATGATTTTACCGAGTTACTTTCTGGATTACTAAAAGAGTTGCTATTATTCATTTTACTATGTGATAATAATTTTCCAGAAAAATTCAAGCAAAATATACCTTGTCCAAATTTTGGATTTTTTACAACGTGATGGGAAAAAATCTACCAAAGGACTCCATCTTGGAAAATGCGCCAATTACTATACACATCAACGAAAAATAACTTTTATTTTAAAAAGCATTTTCACAAAAAAATTTTTCGCATCGCTATAGAAGAACGGTATCTTCTAGCAAACCCTGTCCTATAGACTTCCGGATTCTTTTAGCTGTCACTTCCTCAGATTTTTTGAAAGCATGATTTATTTACCTAGATGTGCAAACTCGGATGCATTTCTTTTTTGTCTAGGCTGGAGAAGCTGTTTGGCTAATGGAGTTGCGCAAAAAGTGTGCAGAGGTGAAACATTCCATAAAGTGACAAGGAATTATTCATTGCAAAGCCATTAGTTTGCAAAAGTCTGGGAGAACGAGAAGATCGCGAAAAAATGCAAATATGAAAATTTTATGGAAGCTAAAGTAAATTTTTTTCATCAGCTCATGTATGTAGGCAAGTATTTTTTTAGGAAGTTATTTTCAGTCGTACATCGAATGATTTGATTTTATATTTTTTCCTATGCCTGTTATTTGCCAGCTGATCCCATATAATTCTGAATAGTATTTTCCTATCTCTCTTTCCTCCTCCTGCCCTTGGGGATTGTTTTTCTCGTCCAAAATTCTAATCCAAATGAGCCTCTTATTAGTCGTTAGTGCTGGGACTGAGGCTTACCCTATATAATGCTAGGCTTCAAACACAGCTGCGATCGTTCAACGAAGCCATGAAGAAAACAAAAAGAGAAAGATTGAGCCCCCCTTTCCCGAAAAAAATCTTGAGGAGCGCCCGTATCTTGTTTCACCTACTCGGAATCTGCAGCTTTTGCACGACTCACTCTTTTGCAGTAACTTCTATGGGAAGAAAAAAACCTAAGGCTCTTATGACAAAGCCTTCTTGGAAGAGGAGCTTTTGTGCCTTCAGAAATAAAACATGCACCTCTTTGAGGGGCAAAAAATGACCTATAAGGCTTACGATAGCACAGAAGTAAAATATGCATATCAGCAAAGAGTTTTCTATTTTCCTAATTTTTGCAAGCGAGAATTGCGTTCATTTTTTTATAATTTTATCACATTATTTCTCAATTTATCACTGATTCCTAGAATATATTTTTCCTTCAAATTCAACCCTACAAATTTTAACCGAGAACTTAGCTCATCCAGAGAGACCGAGGATCCTGCTCTATTATATTTCTGCGATTCCCATATTTGAGTAGTTTCCGTGTTTACTATGACTCTAGTTCTCTTGGAGCGCAAAACCTTTAACCCTTACGGTTGAAAACCCCATGATGTGTAATTACACATACTATTCCTGCATTTACCTTAATTGAGACCATGTTAGCTATTAAAGAAAAAAAGAGGAGCAGAATGGTGACTTTAACGTAGTAATTAGACTCATTATTATTTCGTAGTTGAAAGATTTCGCGCTCCACGGACAACGGAAACCATGAGCAAAAAAGAGACTTGCTTGAAACGCAAGAAGCCTTATGCGGGTTTGACTAATTTACTTTCCATGTTTTTTTACTCACCATTTTTATAAATTTTCTTGCCGAGGAACTACGAGGTATGCAAACTTTCAGCGAGTTTTGAGATTACCGTATACCTACCGTAAACTACTATTTGAAGAGGGTAGCAATACTCACGGAGGTAGTATGGCAAACCCCTATAACATTTTGATGTAATGAAAATCCCAAACTTATTATGAGTCTTATGAGTCTACCCTTGTGACAAACTCCCCCCTCCCCCTCCCCCCACCTAAGCTTTTGAGACCTTTCTTTTCCCTCCAATCATCCCTTCATAATTTGTCTACCCAAATGGTTACCATAGCTATTTGCGCCCCAAATGCAATGCAAAAACAGCGTATGCCATTGTGTGTGTGGGGGCTAATTTTGTTTACGGTCCGCTTGTTGGTAGCGGATTTTCCGCTTGCCATCCGACATTTACGATGATTGTTCGAAGGCGACATCAACAAGAGAATTTCACCATGCTTGAAGCATCAGTTAATTTGTTCCCAGCTCATTTTTAAGCTTAAAATCCTTCAACAAATTAGATTCGGAATTAGAGCTCTAGTTTGTTCTCCATCTTGATTAGTAGAGCAAGATTTATACCATAGATCGGAAAAAACTGATTGTGAGAAAAATTTACTACCAATATGACAAAAATGACAGTTCAATAATTTTAATGGATCTTTTTCATGGATTTTTTTCAATTCATAAACGTGCTTCTTACAAAAATTAATAATACAACCCTAGAAATGTCTAAAAATAAATGAAATTACCGGTACTTTAATTGAAGCTGAAGCTGTGTTTCTGGCCCCCGGAATTACCATCTCAATCATGACAAAGTAAAACAAACAAAATTTCTTGAACTTGTTGATAAATTTCTAAATCTCACCTTGATGAGATAGTAAAAATACTTCCTATAGAACACTTTTGCAGAAATAATCGCTTTTATCATGATCAAAAACAAGAAAATAACAGTTTTGTTTGGGACTTATTATTTATGAATAATTAAGAATAATTTTAATTATTCTCGTGCGCGTTTCTACAATACTTCGATAACTTATTACTTATAATTTTTGGAATATTGCTGAGGAGCCACTTGTGCGAAGTTTCAGCAAGATTTTGACCTACCGTATACCTATCGTAAGCTTACCAAACACTCTACCACGTGCTAAGGAGTTTTCACTATCAAGAAAAATAGAACAGCGAAACACTTTTGAAGGACAATTCGTATCTCCTACCTCCTTTAAACTCGTACAATCTCCAATGCACGGAACCACTGCATGGAGTAACGAATAGGAACAGTGGTCCATCACTATTGTGTGAATATAAAAATCTGAAAAATTGCACTTGTTTTTTTTCCACTTTTTGGAGGGCTACAGTATCCTCTACCTCTTCTCATTTCCAGGACCGACATCGGAAACGATTTCCACATTTTCTCGTAACGATTTCCATTGTGAGACGAAATACGCGGCAATGTTGGGAAATATTAGTAACAATGCTAGAAGGAAGTTCATCTGGAATTGGAGAATTACTAGATTTGAAGGAGGTATAGCTATTGAGCGAGAACAGATAGGGATAGAGACCAAACGGATAGGAAAAAACAAATGAAGACGAGTGAAAATGACAGCAGTGAGAGATGGGAAAGAGAATTTGGAAAAAATTGGCATTAGAGAAAAAGAAATTTGTAACCTTGGCTGGAAGTCTTCGTAATTACCAAGTCATTTTGCAAAAACGTATCTCCTAGGAGATTTCAGCCTCAGGCAACGATACTGAGATGAGATGGAAAGTACAAAATCCTTCCTAAGACCTCAAGGCTATAAAGTACATGAGAACATCGAAGGCGATCCACTTTAGCACACTTCACTCTCGGAAATTGAATTTTCAAGCCTTCTCAGCACTAACAATAGCCCGGATGAATGTGATTACGGCCAGGGCACAGTGAGGAGGGGGGGGGGGGTAAGGGAAGAGGTTGAGCGGATGAGGAGCAACAAGGGCAGTCGGCTTGGAACAGCTCAAGGCGGAGCTGCAGAAAATTTCCGAGAATGAGGCTGGATTAGTTCTGTTGGAAAGAATAATGGGCTTGTGACGGGATGTTAGTCCCGAGGTAATAAAATATTCAGATTTATGTAGATGCTTATAATAATTGCTTTCTAGACATATAGTGTAGTCGGAACTGCTTGTTTTTGCTCTTGACAAGAGGATGGTTTGATTTTTTACAAGGAAGACAACATATGTGAGCAATCTCGAGGCTCGATTTTTAATTGCTTACAAAATCATATGCTCTAACAATAAGATGCGCTACAAATGTCATAGGACTCAATATTAGAGAATAATACTTTGAAGAAGAAAAAATAAGGCATTATGAAGACTTTGTAGACCGGAAAGAAGGCTCAATAAAGCAACCGTCGATCAACACCTTACATCCATACAATGTTAACATTTTAGTCATAAATACTAAGTTCAAGCAGACATACGGTATGGTAATTAATCGGAATTAAAATTAGAATATACTTGTGCAAATTTCCAGTTCAATTTTTGATGGGGGTCTAACATCGTTTGGTTTTCTTGGAGAGAAAACACTGATACCAGCATAAGAGCAAAAAAAGCCAATATGTATAACACAAAGATTTTGAGATATTCAAATTTTGTAGGATCTTTGTTCAATTCAATTCTAAGAAAAAAGGATAAATGAATCTTGGACTGGCTTGCACTGAAAATAGCAAGCCTTATTTTCCTAGCCTTTCTTAGGAAATTGCAGTCAAGCGAAAACAGGAAGTAATAGCTCACTATTGCTGAGGCCTTTTGTTTAGTTTTTTAAGACCGGACGAGGCGAGAAGGAGAGGCCAAGCAGACAAAAGGAAATTGGTAGATTTAGAAGAAAAATTTGGAGAGGTGAAAAGGCCAGGCATGAATGCTTTATGAGAATGTTGGTAAGTAAGCGGCTCAAGATGGTTCTTGGTAACAAAATTTTCTAAATTTGACAGATGTCTTATACAGATTGAAGATAAAAATTTTTTGAATCAAAGCTTCTGTAATGCATACCGTACACCTACCGTATTCCAAGAATTACGGTAATGCGGAACGGAAGATTTGCATCGATAAGCTGAGCGCAATGCTTCTTGGATTCAGAATCCATGCATAAAGGACGTTGTGGCCCGAAATGTCACAGAAATTCGGGAATTTCACGGAATTTCGCGGATTTCGCGGAGTTGCGGGGTTTTACGGAATTTCGTGGAATTTCGCAGCAGTCACGAAAATTTTGCTCTTTCTGTGAGCGCTATTGTATATCACCAAGAAAAAAAGATTTTTTAAAAGGTACAAAAAAATCGAATACTAGGGAGGGGCAGATGTGGGGAATTCCTGAATCAACACGCCGAGGCCTCGAGAAAAACATCGTGAACAATACGTAACATAAGACGAGCATTTCTCGAGCGTTTTTCCTAGTGCTTAGTCCAAAATAGGATCAATGCGTTGCCGCTCGCCAGGGAGTTCCTTCTCTCTCTCGGACATCGTTGTGTTGGTATATGAGAGCGCTCGGATGACTTCTTGAAATCACCCACTTTGCACACGTGGACCACGCCCTCCAGCAAGGGGGGGGGGGTAAAAATTTGTGTCAATCGTTGTTGTTAATTATCATCATAAGCCATCAGAAAAGCCACGTTTTTTCTAACTAAAATTTTTTTCTGTGTTGAAGCATTAAAATATGTACGATTAACACATGTATGACAAGGGCGAATTTTCGATTGCTACCGTTTCGGACCAAAGCCTTTTTCGCTTTGTCAAACTTACGACCCACCGGTGGGTCATACTGTCCGAAATGGCAGAAAAGTGCGACAGACTGGCGGGTCATATTGTAGTGAATGTGTTGAGAAAGTTTGGAATGAAAGTGAATCTGATGAAGGGGCATTTCGACGTTTTTTTTTTTCAAGTCATGAATAAGTGTAATGACGCATGCATATGCAAAATATGATAAATATGAGACTGGCATGTCAGAAGAATCTCAAATTTCATCAGGGTAAAGCGTAAGTAGTTTTTTGCGGCATTTCTACTTCCTCTTGAAGGACTACTATTACAGAAAATCAATCCAGATGAAACAACAATGTAGATAAGATCGAAGATACAAAAGAAAACATAATTAGTACAGCAGCAAGAAGTATGAATGAGCCTTGCAAGCAAGTTCCTGGAAGGCTTTTTTTGCTATTTTTATTGAACCATGAATCGGCGCAAGTGTGGTAATGTGAAAACGCATACGGTACGAAAAATATGATAAATATGAAACTGGCATGTGGACAGAAATTAGATGTGCACACATAAGTAGCGGTCTCAGAATTTCCTTTGGGGGGGGGACAAAGATTTTTCCGAATGAAGACACCGCAAAAAGCCTTCAGATGGCTAACGCCACTGGGTGCTTTTGGGTGCTGCTCAAGTTTGCGGGCCCATGATTTTGGAACGGATAAGGTGGGTAAAAATAGTTTTTCCAAGAGTGACTGTCACGTCCCGTAGAAATTAGCAAGGGTAATTTGCATTCTGAAAAATTGTAAATTATTTCCTTGATTAGATATCACTTAAGATAATTTTCGAAAATTTCGCGATTGTTCGGGGGGATGGTTTGTAATCTAATTTGATATATTATTTGGATCAATGAATAAGAAGGAGAATAGAAGCATAAAATGTGTTTGTAGCGTTTGAAATGAAATATCAGCTGTATAAAACACGAAGCATAGATAAGGATGCAAATAATTGCAGAAAATGCTAATGAAGTGAAAAAAATAGGTTAAGACTATGGATTAGAAAAATTTAGAGAATTAGCGTCTGTTGAATGCCAAAAAGGATTATTACATTAGATAGTGTGGTTATCGATATATTCAGCTGCAAGTTTAAGCATCAGACTATGATTTAGCGATAGAAAAAAAATAAAAATCACTACTAAAGATAGGCAAAGCGAAATTCGACAAAATTACTTGATATCATAGAGGCGTGATTTTCTTCTTAGTGAATGTGCAGCATCAGCGAAACCCCAAGGAATACACGAGCACCAAGGAAAGTGCGGCGAAAATGACGTAGATGTGATTATTCTGGAAGAGCGCCTACGCGCCGTAATCTGATTCCTCTCACGAGTAGAAGGGGCAATAGAGCGGCAATTTTATTATCAAATTACATCGGTAAGTATTGGAACGGCAGGTCTACAAATTTGCTCATTATCTTAGAGAATTGTTGAGTTAATTCAATTTCTTGCATAGTCTTTATGTTGCGCACACGCTATGTAAAAAATTGCGCTTGAAATACTGGAAAAGAGTAGTAGAAGAGCGGTAAGCTCCGCCCCTTTGACAAGCTCCGCCCTTTTGAACCGCACTTACTGCTCTTGAACTCCTTTCAGAGGGCTTAGATGTTCTATTACATCTACACTAGAGCCCGATCAAAAATGTGCACTGCTGCATACATTATATCTCGCGGAAAAAATACTAATTTATCTCAAAGAAATCACAATTTTTAATCCCCTGAATTTGCATTTTTCCGCAGAAAATTGCTGAGTTAATTTGTTACAGAACTGTTACAATTATGCACGAACTCTATAAGATTCGCGCTTGAAAATGTGAAAAAACAGACGGTTTGGGGCAGGGGACTACATGTTGAAGTGGGAGGTCCGCTGGACATCTGCAATAAATACACACTTCTGTACATGCACAAGCTGAGTATCTGCTGCATTGTCCGCGCGGGACCCTCCCACTTTCGGCGATATATAGCCCTCCACTCAACGGTTTGGGAAATAGTGAGCTCCGCCCTCATGGCAAGCTCAGGCTTATCTGCCCAAGACTCCCCCCCCCCCTCCAGCTCAAGTCGTTCCTGTATTAGTACTTGAAAAAACTATTATAGTCCCACGCCTAAAAATTTTCAAGCTACTAATGCCGAGCACTCGTCGTTCTAATCCTAGGACAAAGCTTTTCTGCTGGTAAACAGCTTTAGCGAGTGTTCGATCGCTTGAAAAGTCCTTGAAGCTTAGAATGATACATCACAAGTGTCTTATAGTTGCGAATGTGAAGCGCTGGTGACGCTTAAATCTAGATGAGCAACTCGGGTTTGCGAGTGATCCACATAAAGTAAGGAAACATTTTTGAGAAAGAATGGAAGATAGGTGAAAGGAGGAGGAGAGAAATGTAAAGGGAAACTTAGCTTTATGGCAGGCCCTATATTATAGTAGATTGTCTTAGAAGGGGTTTTATCAAGGGCAAAGTCTATCTACCGGAAAACTACTCTTGTGGACGCATGAGGTCTAGTCTAGTATCTCAAAGCAAATTATCCGGAAAATTGCGGACGTTTGGCCCTCACAAACACATTTCCCCATCATTCAAAGCTTCTCCTTCCCTCAGTGGGGATTTTTCTAAAGTACCCGAGTCACTACTTTGCATGCGACAATAGAGCTTAGAGTAATAAAAATGATTTAGCGAGTGCAAAGCAAGGACTTACCCAGTGAACTTTCTTAAGAATAAATTTATTGCTGTGCCGAAAGCAATTT